ACAAACGACTTTTCCCGCATCTCACCGTTGAAATTAAATGAACATATTTTAGAGGAGTCCTGTAAAGGCCGAAACAGATGATGCTCTGACGGTGTGAAATCCGGGCTATACAGCAGATGCGCTAAAATTTCCCATTGGAGTTCGCTCAGTTTTTGCCGGGTAGCCAAACATGTATGTGGCCTGGTATTATCAGGCTTTCCAAATCGACGCCTTTTCTATTCACTTGTGTCGGCGGATTTTGCTCAATAGCGAGTTGTAATCTTATTTGTTGTTAACAACAATTTGAATCAATCGTTTTGTCACATGACAGTGGCAACCCATAATGTCCGATTCCTCTCAATCCCACCAAACACAGAGCATCACGTTCGTTGACGTTAGTCCGGGCTTTGCCGCAGGTCATAAAACGCATGTTAATAAACATTGAAATTGTAATGAAACTGTAACATATGACGAACTTTCGCAAAGTTGTATTTATTTTCAAGGTACTCTATCCCAGATTTGAAAGGCAGCTCGCAAAAATTTTAGTGTATCTACAACTGTCGAATTTTAGTTTTTGTATGATATCACGCCGAGGGGATTCATACTACCCCAAATATGCTAACCCATCTAGGTAGGTAGACGGTGACAACCCAATCTGTCTGCAAAGAGTGACAGAAAAAAACATACATGTCGAGTCAAGCCTAGCAACAATAAAAACGTTTGTCATCTGAAAACTACTATTGATTCATTTGATTATTACATCCATTAAATTCAAACTGATGATGGTGTTGATTCATCTGGATCATACGCAAAAAAAAGAGACGAACTTCATTCGCGATATTTCCCTAATCTAGATAACATAATAACACATAGAGATATGCAATAAAAAGCAAGGGTTTGTAAAATCAACTATCGATGCCAGCTTGTACCCATACCCCGTTGAAATAATGCGAATAGAAGTGATACAAACAACGAACCAATAACAAAATCACATTTTTTTCTATCGACCTTCCATTCGATCGGTCATTATCGAACGCGTTTAGTGACGGATATCGAAGAATTACTAGATGCTGTTATTTCTAGCGTTGTTGTAGCCATTGTTGCTTTCCTAACCTGTTGTTGTTGCTATGCTTATTGGTGTTGGTTCACTGTAACTTGAATATGAAAAAGAAAAGCTTGGAGTCCAATGTTTGTATTTCATTTTTTTTTCAAGTTTACTCGGCGACGGATGTTATTTGTGTTATTATTATTATTATAAATTATATTGTTTGATTTGAACGAGTATTATAATTTAGTTTTCAGAACTTAAGTTCTTTTTTTGTATTGGAACTTATATTCTTTCTATTCTATATCATCGGTAGGATAATTCGTTTGTCGCTCATTGACAGTCAATTCATCAACGATTTAATGTTAATTACAATGGAACAATAGTTGACTGCTGACTATGCGTTTACTATAATAATAATAATAATTAGTTAAATCTGATCCGAACTCTCTCGGAAACGAGCGAAATTTCACATTATAAATAAGAATTATACTGCTATTACTTGTTTAACTATATTTCCTTATTACACGACCTCTGAATCCGTCATCTGAATGTTTTCATTGCGTTGAACATCTTAAATAAGCCTCAGAATTATAATATATAAAAAGGACAAAAGTAAAATTAAGTACATGTTCATATTTGATTTAAAGTTAGTCAGTGTGCCAATTTCTGAATTCAGAAGACAATATCTAAGTTTTTTTGAAGGCTCACTTTCTTTATTTTAAATTGAAGCGTACAAATTGTACCTATCCCACTACTGTAGAAGCATAGGATTCGAGAGTCCGTAGTCTTAAAAAACCATTATGATATGATTTTGAAATGTTCATGATTTTCTTATAAACAAGTAACAAAAAAATCGTAATACGTGGGAGCAAGCATGGTGGATGTGACGGAGCTTCCAACTGTAGCCCTTGCATTTTTGCCAGCGCAGTTCTCGCAGCGTGAGGTCGAGCCTTATCATACAATAGTTGTGGTTTACCCCTGTTCACTAATCCATGACTGTTTAATGTGGAGTTTTTTCCTCATTTCCTTCAACCGTTGGCAGAATACTTCAGCCGTAATCGACGCCCAATATTGATGATGCTGTAATGGGTAACACCTGCATTAGACGACCAGCTAAAGACTATTAGGTATTGCTGGGGTATATTTGTTCAAGACCCACACGTTCGATCAGTGTGACTTGCCATAATTCAGTGCGAGAATAGATCACTGTTTTAATAAAGAAGCAAAGAAAAAAAATTTCGATTTTTTCTCGCTTATATCATGTGTCACATAGCTGCCCATTTTTTATCTTTCTAATTTAACCAGGGCCCGTTATTTTTACAGACACAAAACCAATTTCCGCACACTTTGAAGTGAGCCGGCCTCCGTACCAGCTTAGCTCTTCGTCATTTACCTTTGCAGGGGTCTCTCATGAGATTTCTTTTTGAGTTCAGAATTTGCTTTTCGGTGTTTTTTGAACAAATGGCTCACGGTGTTCCTAGTCATATAATCTTCAACAAGCATAAAATTTCAGCGATAAACTGTGTCAAGAGTAAACTTTCTATCGCTCACTACAAACTCGCCTGCTAAAAGCCCGACTGACGATAGCAAGGTGAACGGCTCGAAATTTCAGAGAGTGCAAGTGCATCTGGAATACAAAAGATGTCACACCGATTTAGAGTCACGTCATCTGGAAAAATAAAATGTATGTTCTACATTGAACGATCAAGTACGTTTAGGAAACATTGGTCACCATGCGCATTATAAGACTGGCGATAAATTAAAAAAAAAACGTTGAATTTGACACTCCGTCCTCCCAACTAAATTTCTCAAAAGACTGAATACTGATTCGAATCGTTCCTCAAAAACGCGGTTTTTAATAACCTACCCACTACTCTCCAATGCTATTTTTTTTAATTAGCTATTTCAACATAAAAATTTCTACCTTAAATAGTGAGGTAAGCTCTGCTAGAAGTTCCTATGCTAGACTGGACTTGTACAGCTAGTTGACGCCATTATTTGCCCCTCCTTTGGTTCGTGCCCTGGGCATATTTAGGTTAGTTGGTGCGACTACCCCACAGAGGCGCTCGCATCAGACAGTTTATTAGCTCGACCAGTTGGGTTCCCTCTCTATCGTATGCAGATGAGGAAGGTCAATGATCAACTGTCATTAGATATACGTTTCATTTCTTTCTTGCCCTGACCAATCTATACACAATCAGCCTCAATCAAGCTCGACATCCTTATTCGGACCTTTAGCCTTAGCTATGATTGAAACGTTCAACTGTTTTGCGATAGACTTAGCTAATGTACCTAGCAGGTTAAGCACTCTTATTGACTTTAGTTAGTCTGACGTATACTGCAGTACGCTGTGCCTTACCCCATTCTATCACGCAATCAACTGTACGAAAACCTCGCAACGTTCCCATATAATAAAACTAAGGGTGTTTATTTTAGCTTTACTTATCAGATTTATACCCTGCTGCTAAATATTTATTGACTCGTCCTGTCGCTGTTTAAGTCCGCTACAATAATCCCGATTCCAAAATGAAAGGAGCCAAACTGATGTCAACTCTTACTAATCACTTGCTATAAAATTCCCCTTTTTGACGCTCTCCGAAAAATAAATCGTATATCAAGCTTTCCTCCATTTCATATACACAATCCCGTTTCAGGTCGTCAATATGACATTCACACTGAACATTTAATAGAAAGAAATCTTGCTTTATTCAAAAGGATCTAAGTTCGTCTGATATGGGCGGTAACGTAGGGCATCGCTGTGGACGTAGCAAAGCGTAACCGTTTAACTACCGCAATCACAACATCCTGCCAAACAGCTTTTCACATATGGGTTTCACCGAAAACTGCCTTCGACTCCCTACTCCAAGGAAGTCGGCCAGGACACCTTTTTTGAATTTGTTTTATTTCTCGATACATGTCTCGGCTATTTTTCTGGTAAATAATTAAGTGCCAAATGCTGTTACTGGTACCCTTGTTGATGATACGAAAATCAAAGCAAATACTTTTTTGCTCGGTCCGGCATTGGTCAAGCTATCTTTGAAAGTCTATGAATAGTAACAACTTTATTTCAGCAGTTTAATTCTGAAACACAATATCTTTTAAAGCAAATTATTGGGTGCTTGTATTTTGTGTTTCACTATAAACAAGACTTCAGCCGTTTAGTTAACTCATCTATACTACTTGTATATGAGATCCTATTTCTACCATTGACATTTTATTGCATAAGAGTTTGGAGTACTCACCCGTCCAGTGCTTCCTAAAATGATGTGCTTAATGCAACAACTAACTTAACGACTTTGGTCCTTGGTGTTTTAGCCCCGAACTTATCTAAACTCCAGCCCCCTTCAGATTCACGTAGGTCAAATGATACTCTAATTAATCTAGAGTCGTCTAAAAACGATCGTCAGATCGTTAGCCTACCTCAAGGAACTCCCCGTCTAACGCTTCCAAGAAACTTAAATGAAAACTATTTAAATTTAAATAAAGGCATTTAAAAAAAGTACAGCTTTGCTTCCCGATATGCGCAATCTTTTCTTAACTACATCTATCTGTGCTGCTCTTTCGTATCATCAAAGACCTTGGATTATTCAGTTTTGATACAATATTAGACATTTCAAGCTGAGGGCTGACCGTCATTTGACCCAACCAGTCAGCTAGAAGGAAATTCAATGGCTTCTCATTTTGTTACTCCCGTATTTTTAAGAAGCAGCAACTGTAACATGTAATAATTTTGAAACTTACCGCAGGCGGAAATGTTTTGTCAGTTCTAGCAATCATTGTTGATCAGTCCCCATACCGACTAGACTATTTGATTTATACTCGCGTTGTACTCCATGGAAGTAAACTTATACTGTAAAAGTGACCTGACCACTTAACCGTTATTTAACTTTGCGTTAATTCGAAGTTAAATGACAGTAGAAGCTTACTTCATTCTCCTTTTGTCTCCATTTTGTGCGTTGTGTCTCCCTTGCAGGATTCGTGGAGGGCGCGGCATGCACGTGCCGATCCCCGCGCTGGGCGAGCGCTCGTCGTACTTCTCGCAGAACTCGTCATCGGGGGAGACCGCAAGCAGACAGCCCATAGGTGAGCTGACTTGTAGGCCCCTTTCGTAAGTGCCACGCACCAGCACTCATCAATTTATCAATCATCATCGACAACCACCATAACAGCTACAAACCATCCAAGACGGAAAGAAACGTTTAAAGAACACAAGATACACAAAAACAGTGCGAAAGACTTGGGCGACGAATCTTAGGGACCCCGTAGCTCGAGGTCAATCGATCTAGTGCTCCTCAACCATCTACTGTAGCATTCCCCGCACCACCTACCTCATCTCCACCGCCACAAAAAATTAACGAGAAAAAAAGCAGAAAGAGATGGGAGCTTTATAATCCAAAAGGCCGAGCCGCCTATCAGTTGCTGGAACCAGGTGGAGTTCCTGCAAGCAGAACAACAAAGGCAAAAGGAGAAAAGAGCAAAGTGAAAACAAGGTGAGAACAGATCTGGTCCCGTTTTGCGACTGTTCAGCTGCTGATCTTTTCATCTTGTAATCGTGGTAGCGATGGCTACGTTGATGACCGCAATGAGGGGAAAACAAGCAAGTATCTACAGTGTGTCCACTATACATACAGGGCTGTACAGCATTTCATAATGCCTCTTCCATCTAATGGCCTCACACAGATCTGTAGCTATGGAAAGAGCTAGCGCCCCCTTACAAGACTGGTTATGCTGCTAGATATGCGGTCTAGTTGCAGACCTCCATCCATGTTGCATTCATTAGTTATCTAAGCAACGAGCGACAGAATTCGCATGTCCTTTCTGTCATCAGTCCATCAGCTCGGGATGAAAGCTGCGGAAGTCATGTGTCGTATGGTCGTACCGGGTGACCACGCTTTTACGTCTCATGATGGAGTTGGTCGTGACGATGACGCTGATGATGATGCCGATACTTCTATGTATCTGTAAGTTGGTATACTGTACCCTATCGTAGCGTCTCGTATATGTGTCTTTTATGATATTACACCCAACACTTACTTCAGTTCGCGTCACTTCAGAGCGGCTCATCGATCCATCTGTCCCGGTCTTTCTTCAGGTTCGAAACAGAAATCACTTGATTCCAGTCGGTGTGCCCTTGCGTATCTGTGCCTACGGTGGCTTTCCGTCGAGCTGGCCGTGTTCTCTGCACTTCGATGCCTATCACTTAAAAAAAATCGCTTAAAAAGTATTGACCGTTGAAGCTAAGCATCAGTGATTTTTCCGCGATGCCGTTCATACGGTGAACGGAGTAACGTACGCTAAACAAATCGCCTGCATTGTGCGTCCTTTGGTATATATACGATTCAAACCTTGAACATGGCTGTTCAAAAAAGAAGCCTTTACATACACTTTTTAAATAGCTAATTAGCCAATTTACTCGCGTAAAGCAGTTTTTGCATCTTCAACAAGTAGATTTAAAGGTGACGCGCTCTCCCAACCCGCGCTATTCTCGTTTGGTATTTAGCGTTTTGCGCGAGCCGATCGCTCGCTTTCCATCTGTCAAGCATTCCTGCTACTGAAATTAGGCTCAATGGGTCGATGCATACGAGCCCAAATGGCGTGCTTGCACATAAAGCTATTTTAGTCGTGTGGGATGCATAGGGTGAGAAAGCATGTTCACTTCGGTGCAGTGACCTCCATTCCACTGCCAACAAGTTCCGCCCGGAAGCTACTTGTTGGAAGATATTCTTGCTTTTGGTATGGCTTCGATACTTCGAAGGGTATACAGCCAGCGCGTCACTGTATGATCAGCGCGCCAGTATGATCTCACATCTGATCTAGTAACCTTAGGTGGGCATAAACACACATATATTTAAACATATGTATACACTGGGGATATAACACACCATAGGGACCCCCCAGAAATTGAGAATCTATATAGATATGCAATGGTTATGTTTCTAACGCAAGGCGCTGTGCGTACTTTGACTATTGACAGTAATACGTTCCCTCGAAATTCGTAAACAACGATTATTCAATGTATTACTAGTAGTTTTTTTTTCTAAATACAGGAAACAACATTATATGGTAAACGACTTCAGTTTATTTCATTTGGTATTGAAATCAAGTACATGTTGAATTTACCCAGATGACCCCTTACAAGTTATGTACAACTTTTGTACGCTGCTCCCAAAGAAGTATGTTTTTCGTAGTCCCTAGCAAGACAAGCACGCATTCTGTAGCAGACTAATTGCGTTACTGGAACTTTTTGAATATGCTTGGATGCTTTCAGCCTAGCTTGGTTTTGAACAACTTAAAAGCTTGGTTCTTATTGGCTATATCCTATGAAGCAGCCGAATTTTTGGCTTTTCATAACTTGAACAGGTGTTTCCGTTCAGAGACAGCTGAATCCCCTAATCTATTACACAAATGTAGTAAAAGTATAGCACCGTTATTGCCTTCAATCACAAAACAACATTGGATATGTTCCTAATAAATATCACCTTTGCGCCATTTGTAATTGACCGCTTAGAATTTTGTGCCCCGTTGGGTATATTTAGAGTATTTTGAAGTTACATTAATTGCGATTCATTCTGATTTGTACACGGTCATCTTGTTTGTACATAGCGAGCTTACGACGTTGCAATATATGCCGCGGTATTTTTCTTTTTCGTTAGATAACTTTTGAATGAAGCTTGTTAATATAGTATATTAAAAATGACACCTAGCCAACGCGTGAGGATATATAGCGTTTTGACCTTTGAGCCCATTTTACCGATAACCTTGCGAAGTGCGTTGCCCTTATGATTAACAAGCGTGCTTATCTTAAATGGTATGGCCGTTTTGCAAGGTCCTGCGACACAAGGTCTGAGGGCTGGTGCCGGGGTTTAACATCTCCGCCCACACTTTTGAGATTCCTCGCGTGTGGAGTAGTAAGTTCTTCCTCCCCCCTCCTGTGCTAATCTATACAGCATTTTCGTCATGGATTCTTTGCTAGCGACCAATGTTATTGGCTCTTACCAAGTCACAATCCATGATTACTGCCCCCCCCGGTTTCAGCAACTTCATGCATTCCTGTAAACAATTTTTTCACACGAGACGATTATGGGGCCGAGCGACGGAGTGTTCTAACGCAGGCTGAACGGATCTGAGGAAATATAGACGCAGTTCCAAATATAAATATTTACTGTATAGGCTGAATGATGGTCATTGCTTTTTATTTTTTAAAATAAATTTAAAAAAGAAACAAAGCGCTGACGGAAATCATATCGTAATATCAGCTTCACTTTGAATGGTCTTAAAAAGACGTTTCTATCTAGGATAGTAAATTACAGTAAAATATACCTTATAACATTAATGACATAGGTGGTATGAAGTAACGATTGACGACAGATTAGTTGGCGAAACATAAATAATACGAGTGCGTCGTTTCAGAAGTTTTTAATTAAAAACTTCTGAAACGACGCACTCGTATTTTCATTTAATCATTTAAAACAAAATTTGGCCAACGAAAATAAGCTGTATATACAGGCTTTTAATTTTAGCCAAAGATGTATCATTTAATAAATATATATATCAAAAGACATACGTATGGATACGGATCTAGAAGCGAGCGAACCGTTCTCCTTTGTAGGTTTGTTGTCATTTGTACGGCCTATATATTGAAATATATATTTGAATAGTATGAAGTATAGTCGACCTCGAACAAACGCTTGTCAATTTTGCAGCGGGAGAATCAATGATTTGCATTTTCCTTATCATTTAACCGTTAAAGAATTTGGCAGAATACTTAGGAGCAATTGACTCATACGTTCGCTCACGCAAACCTCTCTGATTAGGGTCCGGACCCCTTAATGGACGCATGATTAATAATTATAGTAATAGATAAGCAAGACTCTTGGCTGTATCTTGATTTGACGAATCACCCAATTCATCTGATTAATTTACTGTATTGGAACATCAATACCTTTTATAACACCGGGGGGTATCTGACGGGTATTCGTGTTCTATGTAGGAAGATAGTTAATACGAGATTCATGTGTCGTGATCTGTTACGTGCTTCGTTTAAGATGGTTTTCTGTAAGCTTCTTTGAATATAAGCCTTTCATAGAGGCCTCGTTTGTTATCGGCGTGGGCACGGCCCAATAATAAAACGCTTTTTAAGCTTATGCCCTGTAAGTTTATGTCTATGTATGCGCATATATAGATAATGAGTGCTTTCCGAGTGGGCCTACTATATGGTTAAGCTATTCCTTTACTGAATAGCGAAAGACAAACGGAATAACGGGTAGTGCAATATGTAGTGAGTGCTTTTATTAGTCAGAAAGCCGGAGATGCATTTCACATTCTTCGATGATTGAGATTACTTCGACAACTCAAGACGAAGCTTATTGCCCACCTAATGATGTGTTGTCTGAGGTGCGGTTAGCTCTCGATCGATATTCCTCGGTATATTGTAAATATCCTAATTATCGAATACTTTTTTACATGGTTTCTAGGACAATAATAGGGCATTCTGACAAAATGCCCCAGTGTAAAAGCGTCGTGTAGTGGCGCATTTAAAATTGCACAACTGCCCTCAGTGGCGAAATGTTCAAAGCAGAATTGAATTTTCTGACTTCTCATACTTCATTAAAAATATTCTCTATTCTATTCTATTTTTGATGCCTTCTACCAACAGGTTGCATGAAGTCGTGAAGCTCAACTTGATATGTAATTAAAATCTGTTCGTATCACCTGTCACTGGCCATACGAAGCTATGGCTACAATATCAATGATCAAATATTTTAACAGATATGACCCCACGTTTAGTTGATTCTCGGGCAACATTAGGCACATTGAACTGCTCCTGGTACTCAAGTGCTTTCGCAATTTTAAAAAAATCCGCTATATTAATATTTATAGTGTATGAGTAGTCATTGTAAGTCCATTACAATTTCAAAGTACTATCAAATATATCCCGAACCACGACCCAAGCTGATGAAGAGGTCCAGGGTTTAGTGGGTGAGAGTCCCACAGTACGAGACAAAGCACAATTCAGTGATGTCTGGCCCGCATAATGCATTTGCCCTCAACTTCAAAAAAAAAAAAGCCTATTACAATTCATATTCAAAAAGCTCCTTGTTACTGTTACTGGTGTTGATCCTGGAACTTTTCGCGTGAAGGCACTCTGGGCTTATAATAATAATTTGATTTGGATGTGATGAACGACGATCTAAAAGCCCGCTTCGTTCATGCCACCATTTTAAGAATGGCAAAATGAAGTATAGTGTTGTTGTCCTGTTGATTTATAATAAAAATGTACTTATAAAATAGTTAGTTATGGGTTGTTATGTGATGCGATGTATCGAGAATCATCTATGCTGTGGCTTCGACGATCAAATTTTTAATTTAGAGAGAGGGGCTTATTGCTTCAAGTCGTCCCGACGATATACACACTATCGAACCTGCGTGAATAAAGTGTTCTATTTTTAACGAGAATATACGCATGTTTGTAAACAAAATGTAAATATAAGGCTGACTGACTAGCCATATTGAGCAATGAGTCTCTCGTCTAAGATTACAACAATGTCGTCAAATATGTAATTGACCATAGAAAATCATGTGAGAAGCTTCATATTGTCATGGCTTCGATACGGTTTTTTTGAAGTATTTTTCTATACGACCTTTTACGAGGCATTGGCTGTCCAAATGGCTAAAACGACAATCCTCTCTTCAGATCCGTCTAAAAACATCTGCAGAACTAAAGCACTAACATGTGTTAGAAATCAAGTTCGAATCTAGCCGAAGAACAGGATAAGTTTATACACTATTTGACAGCCTCAGTCGGTGACGTCTCATGGTATCAAGATTCATACAGCCAGTGTGTACGTTTGTAAAGTTTAACTTGCCTAGGCAAAGAGTACACCTAATAAACAAATAAGGCTGACGCTAAGTAATCTCCCGTAACAGAAATGACTCTGAGAAAGAAATGTTAATTAACAGTTCTATCCAACCGTTATAATATACAAATAATAAGTAATATATAATAACCGTCAAACAGAAATGTTTTATCTTTCTAAAGTTGAACCACGGTACTGTTTATATACGTCTATCAGCTATTATTCGTGCCTATAACTGAACACGACAAAACTTCTATGAGATTATACAAAATTTCAAGGTCTAGCAGCATAACCAGTAAAAAACGTGCTTCGTCAAGAGAATTCATTTAAATACCATAATATCGTGCGTATTGAAACGTGCACAGCTTTTGGCAGTTAGAAGATAAACAAAAGTAGAACAGGTGACAGCGTTTGAAAAAAGTGCGCTAAATTTCATCTGATGTTTAGGTCTTATCTACAGCGACGATACATCTCCTGTCCGGCCATCCACTGTATTTAGGACAGTTTTGGCTGGTAGGTCTTGCATTGTGGTCGTTTGAAATTCACTCACTACAAAGCCGTTGATCTTGAGCTTGAATGATAACACGTTCTCGGCGATAATATTTTTGTTGTGTCACTATTGAATAGGCACACAGACGCATCTACTGCGCGCAATTACTGTGGCAAAGTCAGATAAATCAAACGACGTAAAAACGGAATTCCTTGACGTTCTGATAACAAAATTTCTCTGTGTACGTACAACTATTATATGGCAGCAGCAAATAATCACAAATTATTGAAATAAGGGGTAAATTGCGGGACCATTTATTGTAGGGCGATTCACAATAGGCGAGTTCTAAGCGATATTGATTACCATTGCTGATTGCCCTTTCGAAAGCTATTGCCATCGAGCATAGAAAAATGCTATTATAATTACTACTAAAACTAAAATACTATATTCTATATGGCTAGAAAGAAAATGGTGGGGAACTCACAACTCTAAGCTACTCATTATATGAGTATATGGTCCGTCCAGTATTAGATTTTATCAACTGCATACGAAACATATAGAGGTTAACCTATCCTAAGTATATAGCAGCTTAGTCAAATTGTTACAGGGTGTGAAACAGCAACTTTTTTCCATTAGTATTTAATACAACTCGATATATTGTACAGTACAGTCTGACTGACTCTCGCAATCAGTGACACTACGATTTCTATGTCAAATTAGTGGATATAAAATGTTGACTTTGCAGAACTACTTTTTTCTTTTTAAGTTAGCTGAAGGACCTACCTTTCATTAGCTGCTAGGTCTTGTTGGTCCTAAATAAATATCTCTATAGAGAAGTGGTGTGCGCCCAACATACGGATGCGTGCTGTGGCTATCACCCAGACCGATCCATGTCAGGTCAGGTTAAGTTCTCTTACTTTGGCGCGCCAGCCCTGTCAAGTCCGCAGGTCAAGACCGAAGCTCAGCCATGAAACTCCAGATGCAAAAGGATAAGGATATTCATTTCTGGAAAGGAGGCCACCTTCAAGCGCTGGCCATCTACAGTGCTTCCAGTTATGAGAAGCATGAAGTCTTACTGGGTATCTTAGGGACACGTTCTTGTCTAGCTTCAAACCTGGACATAAATAAACCTCGTTTCGCACCGGAACCCAGCCATCTAATTGAGAGCCTGTTGGAAACCAGACGAAACGTAGAAATATGACAAGGGATTAGAGGTCAAAGAAGAGATAAAGCTTTTTTGAAATCATTCTTTCTCTTCCCTTCCTTATGTAATGCCCCCCGTGTGAATGTGGTTTATGCTGGTAGGCATGCTTTTCTTCCGCTGAACCCCTCAAGTTTTCGAAGCCCGAAAAGCTCCCAAGCCAAGCCATTCGTTCGCTCGTTTCTTCTTCCCATTTTATACGAAACAGGAGGTTTGGAAACTTTATTTTTGTCTAACACCTTCTGTCTCCTTGAAACGGCTCCCTTTTTCAGCATACGGCTTGACAGTTTAAATCAGCTGAGGGGCGATGAACAAGTCGAATGAGACCGGAGGCCACAGTGATACGCATACAAACGTTTATTACAGTAGTAGATTTGGAAGCTTTGGTTGGAAGCGTTTAATGCTCTGCTACCACGTAGTCGTGATAATCCTTAGGCAGCGGGACTACCGAGTATGGTACGCCCTCCTTCGGCAAGAAACGTCTCACCACGCCTCATTGCACGAAGCGTTCCTCTAGATGTATCGCACTCAAAAATACCTTTGCCAATTCCAATTTAGTTGGGTGTAATGCTTTTTGTGGCCATATTGCTATGCTCTTTTGACCTGTTAGCCATACTGTAACTAGCATTGCCACTTCATGGTAACATTGTTCTACATATTGGTGTTAATAAGGGTATAGACTATATAAAGGTCTACTTTACTGTAATTCTATTATGCGTATGTGCAATATCCATATAATTACAGGTGCATCTGAATCATACCTGTGTTCACTGAACGTGCCTACGGGCTAATAGAAAACCTCTCCCCGGCGGGGGGAGAACTTCATGGACTCTGCGGATAAAATGTTCATACAGGCTCTGCAGAAAACCGACGATAACAGGTGCCAATCGTCCCGAAGGTCATAGGTGTTAATTCTGGCCGAACGAATTATACAAATCTCCCTGAGAGAACTGATAGGTTGTTCGAGTGACTCTCATCAAAAATATTGTCGGTCAGATCTTTTCAGACTAGAGGGTATATTTTTGAATAAGTATGAAACTGTTTGCTCTCCGGCTTATTCTGCTCCCTCCGCTTATATTGATTTCTTCAGCATAAACTCTTTTCAGGTCCTGTTAAGCCGTAGGAGATAAAATAATTAAAGTTATTATATGTTTCGAGCATATCGCCTGCCACAGGCAAGAAGAATAATCGAACTTATAGCCAGATATGCGGTACATCCACGCAATGAGACGATATTCAATGTTTTTGCGATATACAAAGTTGAGACAAACGATTTCTATAACTGGCCGCAAATGTTGTCTAATTGGTATTTTGTTCTATTATTTATATTTTAAATATATTGTGTGTGTGTAAAGATAATAAATCAAGGAGAGGGAGGTTAGATATTAAAGGAGCAACTGTTCATTACGAAATAAAGTTCACTAACTGCTAATTATTTTCGACAGCTATGGTCGTTATCTATCTGTTTAGCGTATCAGTATTTTAGTGTTTTATGTTTTCTTTTGAAAATTGCCTAGGATCAGCAGGTCAATGATATGTCCTATGTAACTACTTATCTTCGACTATTATTTATACCTTTGCTGTGCAGAAAATGCAATGCACGGCGGGCAAAAATAATCTGGTAATTTTTTTACAATTACAATAAAAAAGTGTTTCCCTATATATTGTGAACGTATAAATAAAAATCTACCATTATGTTAAGCCTAATGAACTATTACGAAAAAGACTCAAATTATACTAGAATGTATGTCGGTATTTAGCGTAGAGTCCACCTTCAAAAACGGGTCAAATAAGAATATGTTATTATGCAGCATCCAATTTTTCTACCCTCAGCTTATAAAAATAATGACCAGAGGTCTCTCCGTACTATCACGGTAGCCTTGTTAGATCTATGTGTTAACAACGTTCATTTTGTGCTACGTGAATCCTAGTCGATCATCCTTTCTTGTTGCCCAATTGCAACAGTTCAAAATGTCTACGACGCCTTCGAAGTAGTCCTTTTACGACAGGCCCCAACAGAGTTAAGGCGCTCGCATTCGATCGTATTGTCTTTTATATTTCAATGGCATTTTTAATCATCGGCCTCTTGAAAAATCCTTGCGGATTGTAATAGGCTATATTGAGAGGGAACGATATTTTAGCAAACATTTCGCGAAATATTCGCAAGCTCCTAGCAAATAGAAGACCGTTACTTGGTTAAGAGGGATCTCGCCGTTTCGGTAATTTCGCAAAGACAAACTCGAATTTTATGTTATGTCTTTGGCTAACAGTTAGATAATATATTCTTTGATATGACATTTGCTGAACAACTATCGGTACAAGTTACTAAAACGGTCATGCTACCTGTGGAGCTGCATTTAAAGCATACTAAAGCTCCCAGTGTGGGGGGTAAGCCAGTAGCATGCCATTTGTCAAAGTCGTCAAGTTACTGTTTTTAGTTTTCAGTATCTGGTGCCGGTATGCGTCGTCTATCTAATCCTGCTATCTGGGGACTTCTGTAGTGGAAGCATTTCATGCTCAGTTAACAACCTGACCACACGTATGGCTTTTGCCCTAAATCAAAGTTATGAGAAGTTTAGATGGGAACTACCGCGCGCGACATTGGCAGTACGTGTAACAAAAACTGGCAAATTTGAGCAGATGTATCGAGATCATGGAAGTGAATTCGTTAGATTAATTCACAACGACTTCGTTTCTTGTACTAGTAAGTTGAACCTGATTCTTACAACTGCTCAGTTGCATCTAAGTTCCAATGGCACGTCGGTTTCAAGGCGCTCGGCAAGACCATAGTGCTTTCGTAGACTACGACGATGTTCAGCAATGAATTTTCTGCACATAGCTACTTGTATAGAGTCGCTGCCGAGTTTTACGCGAACAAAAGGCCGAATCGGTTTTTTTCGTTTTTCCAGTTCTTCGGCGATCGGGAACATTAGCCCTGGAAAACGTGGCCGTGATTGGGGTGCGGTGGACATATGTTTACCAGGTACCCTTACATTTTGTCGATTTGGATCCTCTCCATTCGAGAGAACTGGACTAAGAAGCTTTGCTAAAAAATCATTTAAAATATACGATTTTTGCATAAAATCGAACAAGTTATAACATAAGAGTACTCAAGGACTTGGCAACAGGCCCGCTAGAATTTGCGTAGGTATTTTGACACGGCCAATCCTGCTGAATGCGCTAGCTGTTGAAAATATTATATATGCACACTTGCAAAAATAGTTAACAATGCGAATTTCTTGAAGCAAAACGTTTCGTTTGTCGACATAAATCTATCGCTTCTGGTGACCGATAATCGTATGCAATTGCACAGCAAAGCTACGTGAGTCTAGAGACGACTTTGAAGGTATAATTTGGACATATATGCCCACTCGATTTTCTCTACAACTCACATAATGTGAGTAGTCTGATAATCCGAACAGAGGGAAGAACTAAAACAATTGTCAAGTTGTCACACAAACATACAGCCTGTATGCTAGTCAATGTCCAATTACCGCGTCATACGAGATACAACAATACCTGGAAAGGCGTAAAAATTGATGCCCCATTCATTGTTCCTTGATCATAAGCGAGCGTCTCGGGTGCCTGCCTTTGCACGATCCATTCCACGACAACCAGAGATCGTAAACGAATTCACTATCATCTACCACTTCGACGAAATACGCGCCAACGATAAACAAACAAATGCTGCACGAGAACATAATGTTTTGCGTGCGTACCTAGTGCCACGGAGTTTAGCGTTTGTTGTTGTCTCTTAGCCGCTGTTTGTTGTTGTTGTTATTGTTGTTGTTGTTGTTGTTGTTGTTGATGTTGTTGTTGTTGTTGTTGTGGTCGTCGTCGCCGTCGTCGTTGTCGTCGTCGTGTTTATTGCTATTTCCCATAATTTCGTCTCGATCCCCCGCCATGATATAGTCGTATTGTCAACATTAATTAACAGTGTCAAGTATTGTAGTGGTGTAACGTTAAATTAAGCCACTTTTTTGGCTTTAGTTAAAAACGGAACGTGCATAAATGCTGTTTGATTGCCGTAGTAACCATTCCACCATAAAGAAATGCTCTACCATCATGTTTTGACACCCTGTGCTGCCCGCGAATTGCTATTGATTAACAGGATAGTTAACCGCTTACCTTGTACTTGATGTTCCTACCCATCAATGGTAGTCGTCCATTTTCGACTAGCTATCGATCGCATTGTATACGTTATAGATATAGTTGTGCTAGAAAACAAAGGTTGCTTTATACGAGCTGAACGTCAATAGTCATTCTCACAAATCGTGCAATGCTTTTGTTGTTGCTGTTGCTGTTGTTGTTGTTGTCATCTTTTTTGTTTTCGTTGTGGGCGTTATTGTCTAGCGGTCACTCGCTCACAGACCCATATCGGCGCGTTGAATCGAATTGGTTCGGTAAATTTCAGGCGTCCCTTCTTCGAACCGACACTCTTCGCAGATGAGTCGGACTACGAGCAGTCTTCAGGTCCCCACCACATCATCTTGTAAGTATGATCTACCATTATCTGTCTATTTTGTCCGCGTACTATAACAGAGGCACCTTACCGAAACACTCATTCTATGCTAATATACAAACCCATGTCCTATTTCCCTATTATTGTCACTGTTCTTCAGGGACAAACTGTAGATTTTAAAGAAACTAAAGCTCGTCATAGCTGATCAGGGTGGAAAACGTGTTCATTACACTTAGATGAGCCTGCTTGTATTACATTGTACATCGGCGAAATCTTTAGTACGTAATCGGATTTAGAAAAATTTGAACTTTCGGCGTAAGCTAGAGCGTCCAGTTACCTGAGTAGGTCCTTCTCAAAAATTCAGTCAACTTTTTCAATCGAATTCTAAGTCATATGCAGCGTCGTCTACCCTGCATGAATAAATCACGTTCATGATGGACGTTCGAGCCTCTGTCCTGATAACTCATGCATATTCGGTCGTTGGTGCAGCAGTTGATAGCCCAATTGCCCCCACATGTAAAGTATGCTGAGTCTTTCCGTGGACGGAAAACGAGATAGGACACTAACCTCCTCCGGCTCTGGTTCTAAATATTGCATCTTCAACTGCCCTCGAGTTCAGTTGTACGGTCGCTTGTAATTATATTCCTTAGTCTAGTCTCATTTTTGCGTTTGAATAATAGAAGTGCAGAAATAAAGTCTGCTCATTTCGAATACACCAGTACGATAGAGTAACCTTCACCGAAATTGTTCGTACTATTGGTCATTTGTCGCATCTTTTTGCGTAAATCTCCATTATAATAAGTTGGTCAGCGGAAGGTATCGACTGATCAAAGTGAAAGTGGATTTGAGAAAAGAAGCAAGCAGCTAAAACACTCCTATCCAGAGGAGACAATGAAAAATGAAAAACACCGCGTACGCGCTGGCGATTTGCTCCGAGCTGAACATCGCTGGTAACGATCTTTCAGAACCGACCACGTTGTGTTTATGGCAGCCTATTTGCGAGTAACTTGTATTCATTGAGACAACGTATGTTGAGCTAGGAAATGTTTCCCTTAATGCTATCTTTAATTAGGGAGTTTAATATCCGTAAAGATTGTCAATTCGTTTGAATTAACACCAATCTGAATACGACTCGACGAACCTAGAACTTAACTTATCCGGCCTGATCGGTGTCCATGGTTACTTCAGTTACACTTGTGATTTTCATAGCTAGCATAGTTAAATAGAGCTAAAATAATACGGGCCAAAATTGTTCCGTAAATTGCTTTCGTACGCTTATATTGACTTATGTCACATAAAACAAAGAACCATAAATGGCCTTTCATGGAGAATCATAGAAAACACCTTCGTATTGTGATCTAATATTATATAGTAACATTCCTTAGGTTATGTAGTACGTGATGTGTACTCCAAAATGATATTATGTAGTTTACTTTTCGGCAAAACGGCCATAGACCCATACTGTTGCTTGACAATAGCTATCAAGGCGACGCATTGCACCGTAACGTCGTCCATTCCGGCAAAAATGTTCGCCTGTTCGCTGCAATAACACACCCGGCGCTAACCAGTCACGGCCCTGCCGGCCGCTTCGACCACATGGTAGCCCTTCACCACCATGAGAACCATATGCTTACTCTCCTCCGAGAAAGGGATAACTAAACCATTTGTCGCGGGACTCAATTCGAGAGGAACTAACAAAATGAGCGACATTATCGCCAATCGGCCATCCACAGGTTCTTTTCCGCTTCTCCCCGATATGGAGCCGATCTAGCCAAGTTTCAGTCACAAGGTACAAATATACACACATACATAGCGGACATATACCACCTACTCTAGTGCTGATTTCTCGATGACGGTTTATTTCTCAATCGAACTTGCCGATTCGCGCTTCAATACCCTCTAATGCAAAATCCACCTTCGACTATAATAATATTTCACCTTAAACCTCATTTAAATAGATTATATAGTAAGGAAGGCCAGACGGAGAAAAAATGCGAAGGTGGGAGTCTCAGACAAGACGAGGAACTCGAAACGGTTGAATGCTTAGGGGAGACGTCCAGTTTGGTTGAAATTACGATACATCGTCATTGTTTTGACTTCGGACGGTGGGTGTCCGTGTTTGTGGCGAAACGATAGGACTACTCCAAGCCAATCGAAGGCACGAGAAATAGAATACCGCAATATGATCATTAACAAGCTGTTTGACCTATACATATAGTACTTTACATTGCGTCTTAGTTTGATTTAGTCTGAGCTGTGTGTGCCGCTAGACGACACTCGGGCTTATATAATCTGCTAACGAAAAAGGACATTAGATGTCACCCAAGTGCAAAAAAGGCTTATATATACATATAAATGGCCTTTAATCGCTCTAGTTGCAAGTGAGTGGGTTAGGGGGGATCGGATTCGGTTACCTCGCTCGGCTCAAATCGGCATTAGGATTTGTGAATGGCGATCATGAGGTTAGAAAATTGCTGCGGGTTTTTTTCCAAGAATACAACGCAGCGTCTACAATGAGCAGTACTGGGTGTATTTTAGGTTCACCGCTTCTAACCGAACGCACTTGGGTGCGTTAGAGACTACTAAATCCACGAATTGTTTTTTGCTGAACATTTCTCGATATGCTATAATTTCTAATACAAAACTACGTGTGTGACAAACAATTAGTGATACGACTGGCTACAAATAGGCATAAGCTAAGAACAGAAAATTAAAAAAAAAAAACTTATTTCTCACGATTAGCTCTAATCGAAAGGGTGTAGCGGTAAAAGCATATAATGTCAAGGTTTGAGAGTAACAAGCAGTTTTAATATTCAATACATAGTTATACAAGGACTAGAAGGTAAAAAAGGTACTATGCTATAATGATTCGGTCCTCCAAACTCGTATCTTTACAATGCAAAGTAGCTTGTATGGTTCAATTTACTGTCATTATCTTTCTCAGAGTGTCTATGTATATGATCGCTGATCGTTGATTCGAGTTCGCTAGCGCACTGGATATGGACTAAATGCGTATCAGGGAAGCGACACTTCTGTCAGTCATCGATTTCTAGTCTAGATGCCTAGATGTTTTATTTTCTATATTAAAACTTGGGGTGTATGTTTTCGTTCTGTGTAGTGCATGTTCGAAGTACAAAGTAATAGGCTGCCCGCAGCAACGTTGCTTTCCTCCAGTCAGTTCTCACTTTGGATTAAGCATGCAATATCTATGATTAAAAGATCAGCACATTTGTTGTAAATATATCTAATCCTTTTCCGTACTTTTGTCGAAACTGGCGTATTCCTAACAGACCAAGGAACCCATCGGACCTCACGGTCAACCAGCTTGTCGATCTTCGAGCCGTCGTTCATGGAAGACTCCTCCGACGAGGATAAAGACAATGAGAAGGATGGTGTATTTGAAGAGGAGTCGTCTGATCTACATGAACAAGATGAGCACCAGTTTCGACAGCAACAGCAGCAGCAGATGGCAACGCCACAACAATATCAGTATCAACAACTGCACCAGCAGCAATCCCAAGGGCAGCACGGTGGATCCGGGGGCCGGGATAGGGAGCACATGCATACATCAAGGACTTCGACTTCTTCGAGCACACTGACACCCACAGCTGTCACTTCAAGTAACTGCAACCTTCTAAGCAGCGGAGGTCATGGCGCTTCGAACTACCATAATTACTGGGAGCATCAGAACAAGGAGAACTCAGGAACTGAAGTAAGCGCGTCTTACAAGCTTAACTGCTGCCTTCTAGCAACCTTTTATGTAGGGCTTCACGCTATGAACAAAAGTTGTGTTTTTCCAGCTCAAATAAAATTTAAAAACAATAACAAGGACATTCGGAAGAACGTTATTCCATACGTTTGTCTTTCATTTGCGTTTCGGCTTATAATAACTAAGATTTTACCCAAGCCCCTTACACATTCCGGGCGCATTCACGCGTCCAACCACAGTTTGCGGGAAACTAGTCGTTGACCGCTTGAAATTTTATAGGAAATTCTCGCCTGCTGGTTACATAGACACGGTACTAAATTATGCGGCGTGATACAATCATTAATTCATTAGATAATCACAACTATATATGTTTCGTCCCTACTTATCTACTTTTCGTTCACTTCACTTCAGAATGTAGGAGGCTATATGTCTTATCCAGAACCGCCTCGGAGATCATCTCGTCCAAGGACGCCTTCGTGGAGGAGCCAACAGCAACGAGCTCGCCGAAAGAAGAAATTGGAACTAACCTCTAATGCGAGCTGAAAGACGCCGCGAGATTTAGAATGACGTGTCACCGCTATTTTAGCGTACGTTATAGCACTACAGAATGTGCAATGCCCCGCAGATGGATGAGCCCATACACCTGATTCAAAACAATGACAGGTAGAAAGAGTGCAAAAGAAGCGGTATCATGATTCTTTGATGAAGTGTGAAGTCGAAGGAAAAGCAAGACTACCAAAATTGTACAGCCTGAAAAATGGTTGAGAGCTGCGTCTAGGTTCTGTTGAGGAGAACATGTAAACGTTCGCCCCCTTATGATATAGGTGTTCAACAACGAGTTAAATTATGGCAACTGATAAAACAGAAGATCGACTACAGGGTCCATTCGCTAACACGCTCAACCCTACCAAGAAGATGACTATTATTAAGAAGACTCTATATCGCATTGTACAGATGGACACTGGAAAGCCGTAACCAAGTAGCAGGAACACCCTCTGGACAAATCGTGCTCCTACTTCAGGTTAAGTATAATCCTTACTATGGCAACATTTGTGTTTAAAGTTGTTCACGTCCTGTTAGCATGCTTAGGCAGCCTTAACTAGATGACTATTTATTCGTGTATAAACTGTTCGTAGCATGGCTTTAGTCTTGATTTCTGTAAAATTTTACTCTATGGGCCCTTAAAATTCAAATTATGTGTTGCCGTAAATGTTCTCGGTAATATTGCTAACTCTCAGAGATTAACTTAAAATTTCATTAATTATTCAGAGTTCAGTTAGGATAGTATCATCCGACTGTTCGCTCAAGCCATGTTTCACTTTTCTTCAAACCATTAAGTCTGTACAAATTCTACGGCAGAAGGTCTGAAAAGAATAAACCTAGGCTAGCCTACCATTGACAGCTTCGTTCCTATGAAGCCGCTGCCTGAACAATGTCAGCATGAGGACTCATGCACCCTCAACTTAATTAAGAGTTTGTTGGGTACGCAGTTCGTAACCTATAAAGAGTAGCGCCTAGCCATAATCAGGTTCTTGGCAAGGTTTGCCAAATGGCTTAGCAACATCTTAGTTATGCGATATTATTCGACGACATGAATTTGCCACAGGTAATCAATCATACATAGTGGCAAATGTTTTATTTTTCCGCCTAAGAAATGTATGATATGTATGGTGTAGGTAAGCTACGTGCCCTACTAGCTAATTTATCTGGCAGACTTTTTTGTCCTTTACGGTTGTAGGCGTCTATAATGTGAAGACGTACGGGTCTTAGTCGCGCGGTCTGATGTGAACACCTTACATGATCGCTCTTTGTACAAGTGGGACGACATCAACGCGGCGAAGGTGCACCAGGCGTCATCTCGAAAGGCAGAACTCCGGGTCCGCTTGATATCGACCCGCCCCACCGGGTACCTGTCAATATATATATTAATTATATGTGTGGCCCAGGACAATGGCCACCAAGCCTGGGCGGTGTCATGGTCCGGACGACTATCACATCGTTTTCGTGTAATTATTGATATTCGACAGCGGAGTAACTGACCAAATACAATCCATATGACGTTTACCCCGATGACGATGATGATCGAACACATAATGAATTTAGTTAATCCTCTTCTATTTAGGACGCCAGCGAGCGTCTTTCTTTCGCGCTAGCGGATAGCTCCACTCAGCTGATGGATTGCGAGACCGACAAAGCAAGTGGCATGCCCCAAAAAAATGATATTGCTCTTGCGTCTGAGATCACTGCAAACATACCGACTCTATCTCTCGCTAATGTATCCCCTACAGTTCTATTTGTGTTTTTAGCTACCGCCAAGTAACAAATTATTTCAGCCAACAATAATGTTTACTGTTTTTTTTGCGTCTCAACAATTCTCTTCGCATCATTCTTTTTTTGGTTCAAATTCCGTTATAAAACGTATGTTTCGGGCTCTTTTTTAGATCGCAGGCCGAGTTCAGCTTTAGTCAGCCACGTGACTGTTATCTAAACAAACGTCTAGCCTATTCCAATATTCTAAGTCAATTATGAAATGAAACTTTTTTCTTTCGAATACAAAACCATATGGCTATGTAGATGTACATGTAATGATTGCCATATGTTGAACTTTCGATTTCAACTCACCTGGTTCAACTCGCACATTCCAACCCCCCAAACAACTCGCTTCAAGCTTCCCTTATGGCTGGGTCAAATAGAACGGTAGAAAGTCTGCATCACAGCATCCTAATTAAAAATACTCTTTTCTGCAGCAGGCAGATGTGCAGTATTACGCATATAAATATACAGACAAATAAATATGACGCCGCGCACTCAATCAGAGGGTTAGGACAGAATGCCCTGATAAACATGCTCGTCCTCCTATTGCTTTACACGTAAACGCACTTTTGATTGCATGACTGCTTAAAATGCTTACGCGCAGAGTACAAACTCAACATTTGTCCGTTCGTTAATACAATTATGCGTTTTGTGGAATCGTTTGGTGATGACCCAGCGCCAGTAGTGGTTCTCATGCACTCACGATAGGCGCACACAGGAAAACTCATAGATGCGTGGACATACAGACAAAATGAACGTCATCAAAGGTAACGTTATCTACGAAATAGGTCGTGCATATCTTACCACTATTTCTGCGACTGTGAACACCCCCATTAACCTTTCGGATGCATGGCGGGAGGTATTGTACACAAATATGGTACAGCCGCAGGCTATCGTCACAACATTGGAATCACTTGGAGCTGACGGTACGAACGTATGGTACGTTTGCTTTTATTCAACTGAATACAATGGGTCCAAGACACTTGTCTAGTGTATTCAATAAGCACACCGTCTTTACTATACAAACTATGAATGTTACACACGGAGCAGGTTGTTTTTTTGCTGCGGTCCGTGACATGATTATATGAAAATTCATAGCGGTGAAATAAGTGCCGATACGGCTTTCAATCGCACAGTAGTGTACAGCTAACCACGAAATGTTCGCTTTGCTTCCCTCTTCGATGCGTTTTGCCGCTTTCCATTAAGCTAGCTCGCTTTCGTTCGAAACACAAAGCCAAAAAGCAGACCTTGAGAAACGTCAAAAAGGACAACCTAATTGTGAATATCTTGCACGTTTTATTAAGAAATATTTCTCTACATTTAATTTCGTCAAATTTGTCAAGAGCAAACTTCATGCAAAAATTAAACAACATCTATTTGATCAAGCGACACCTCATCATTACATACATAGCTACCATAAACGTATATCGATACCGAGAAATGATCCATCGATCTTTCTTACAATCGCTCCTGCGATTACGATCACCACCCGAATACGAAAGTGATAAGTGCGCAAGTAAATGCTTCTATGAGCGCGCCTGAATCGTCTACAGTTCTGCTGATCAGAAATGATACAGGTCCTGTACGACAATGGCGACACATAAGTAACACCTTTCCGGCGAAGATTAGCAAAACCTATTTCATAGTTTGCCGAGCTTGATTAAACACAAAAGCTAGCGAAAAAAATCAGTGACAAACGTATTAGTCTGATTACACCCTCTGCCAACATAAGTAACAATTTCAAGTAGAAAAACGACCTTTTTTTTTTTTGCGTTGACTACACTTAACGCAGGACAGCGGTCGCGGAAGTCCAATAAGAAAGCTTCTCGTTCGTCCTTTACGTTTTTCGTGTGACACGAATCAAGCTAAATTCTGCTGAATTGAATAATTATATAATAATAATAAATAAATGAAAAAACAATACCCTATGGAACGTCCACACCTTTAAAGTCTATTAAATTATACATTAAAGATTGCTTTTGAAGGTTAGGTTTTTACAAACAGAATTTGATTCTCTCAGAGCCAGCACTGTCATACGGAGACATAGCATATGCTAGACTAGAGTGGCCAATTTCGATGCCCGTGTACAGAGGTCGAAGGCTACATCAATTCGCTATTTGTTAGCCTTATATGTTAGTATAATGTTTCGAGGCCTAGGGTAAAAATAGCAGGTGGAATCGAGCGGCTTCAATGTGTAAAACTGATAGAGAACATCGTCTAAAATAGAGGATTTATAGTTGTAAGTAGCTCTTGACACATGAGTGGCATACATGGAAAATTTATGGAGGATAATAAAAGGAACAATATTGTATAAGAGAAAAACGTATGCATGTATACATACAAATAGATGAAGAGAGGCAAAAGAACGTATAGATATAAGAATGCAGCGACTTCGAATGAAGATTTTAAAAAAAAAAGCGTATTTTCTATAGTAAAATCTGTAACATTACTATATATGCAACAAATAATTTTCCTTTGATCGTACTTGTTCACAACACCGAACAAAAAAACGGTCACGAATAAAGTATAGACCCATCTAATGGTGAACACGGCGGCGGTCATTAACGTCGAAAAAATGAGACGGAACTCATCAAGATAATTAATGTGAGAAAGAAAAACACGCGGACCCATTACGAAGCACACGACAATAAAAATAACACCAATTCTAAGATTACTACACAATCCTAGTGCTATACAATCTGCGTGAATAAACAATGATATTATTAATCTTAAAAAAAAAGAAGAGGTTAAACGGCATAATCGGTTACAAATTACCTATAAATATACGTTGTATAGCAACCTGTAGTACGTACACTGAAATCCATCGAAGCTATATAAAAAATACCCAGATTTCAGGTGTACACAGCGAAACATACACACACCCGTAAGCCTAAATGCACCCATATTCCAATTAGTAAATAGGCACAACATTTTTGTGCGTGATTCTATTACTATTACCTTTATGATAAAAACGTTGATGAAGTTGTAATGAAGCGTTACAAAACAGACTTCGATATAGAAACAACGGTGTGTTTGATTTTGTTCGATTCTAGAAATAAAGTGATATTTAATTTATTGAACGATTGGCATCGAGACTCGTTAAGGTCAATTGACATCGTAATAAAATAGAAGGAAATAGCGTGATGCAAAAGAATTGCCTTTATTTCTAGTTCGTTGTAGCATCAACGAGTGTCGTTACTTTCTTGAGCGATTCAGAAAAATGATCAAAAGAAACACGAATACGAATCGGACCATAAGTTGCAGATTACCCGGCATAGATACATACGATTGATGGCATCATAAAAATAACATTGTCTAGAAAAATCAAGAACGACAAAAAAGGTGTTTACAGAATGTACAAACAATAAAATAAATTATTCGTAATAATGGTTACGATGATGATTGAAAATATGTATAGAAATAAGGTCAACTTCGTAACTTAATTTTGTGAAATGTCGACGACTCTAAAAGACGGAGAATCAAACAAGTAAGTCATAAACAAATACAAGTTCAAGTAATAAACATTACGACGATCATATGGTTTAGACGGCGAAATCCCTCATTAATTAGTTATGGTGGCCAGCTCTACCTACGTACAGGTATATAGGTCGTTGGCTATTCATGATAGTACTAATTAGACGGACACGCTAAATCCAGCGGCTGGCAAATCTAAATAGCGTGACAACAATGCTATAGAAGAACGTACAGGGTTTGCATTGATCACGCGCACCTTATAACGTTCGTTGTAATGTCCGGAAGACTTTTGTGGTTGGAAGGAAGTTGTGGAACACTCTGCTTAGAGTTCTCATCGAACTCGGAGCGGGGTGTTCTTTTATGTTTACACTGTAGATTCGACGAACCCTAACATCAAAGGTAAACAAATTAAAGTATTATAAGGTATTTTTCGGCTCATAATATTCACTTAGCTTATAACTAGAAAAACTGAAGTAGGATTACTTCGTTACACTTAAAGCTCGAGTAAACAATTCGAGCTAGCGACTCGTATATCTGCTCCAATAAAAAATGTCAGTAGTTCTCATTATGAATGGTGGAGGTATCGTGACGGATATTTGTTTCGAAATATCCTAATTAGTTCCGCTTTTATAGAACTTGTTTTCAAGTCGAGCTTGAATGTCAGTACCTCGACTACCGCTCACCTGGTGAGCAGAAAATTTCTTTATTTATTCGACCTTTTGACATAGGTTCGCATTCTTTAGTGCTGGGTGTCCCTTAGGCTTTAGCGCATTACCATGAATTTCGATAATTTAAACATGTCCAAATTAACCCCGTCGCTTTAAAGCTAACCTGGACGTTTTGGTTTCTCCAAGGAATATGGGTAAACTACTGGACAAGAAAAAGCTGGAAAATGGGCTGTAGTGATACAATAAGGTGGTCAAACTCTAACGCTCACATCACGGTCGGTCGGTTCGAGATAAACCACCAATAAAAAAAAGAATACAAATGATTTAAAAACAATGATTACCTTATCAATGCAATAGTGACTTGAGCTCAGTCACTATTCAGTCAATATTTCAACCAGAACTAAGCAAAAGTGCTTTTGGAATCCTTCTTAGATAACTTCAAATAAATAGGACATATTTGCTGGCGGTAGTGCATGGCGAAACTTTTTGCGCACGCGTAGCTCAAAAAATTTCATCGTGCACTTTACGTTAAATTAAGTTTTCTTCCTAATACCTAATTATCTACATCCGAATTAATCCATTCACGCAGCCATGCCCTGAAGTTTACATCCGAGTCTCTCTGTAACAGCATCAACCCCACCAACGAAGAAAAGTTCTCTATCGTCAGGCACGTAATCGTATCAGTGTAAGCACAGCTCTGAATACGTCATGCCTGCTCATCCTTCAACCCGTTCATCGAGCTCGGGGCAGACTGCGGTTGTTTTCGTGAATCACGAATGAAAGCGAAACAGTTGTTTCGCTTTCATTCGTTTTTTTCGCACTCAGATATTCGAAGAGAACTGCCGCGGATATTTACTTTGTGCTATAGCACCGCGGTATGAGTGTGCCATACCCTGTTACGTAACATAAACGGTATTAAGTGGCTCGTACAACGCTGCTGCTAGCGGAAACCAAAGGTGTTTCTTCTTGTCAAATGTCACTATGGTTAGGACGAATGATATCGCTTTATAATCGTCCGGCTGGGGCTTCCATCCGTCAAACGGGTCGCGAGATCTCTATTCAGCAAGATTCTAGAGAAATATTCGATTTCTCCGAGACGCTGCAGGCAATGCATTCAATATAACTTCATATGTCAGTCGACTGCTCCAGTGCAATACAGTCTTAGCTGCTCCGTAAAATCATGAAGTTGCAGCCTTTCTTCAGGTAAACAGAACTTTCTCGACTCGGGAGGGTCCGCCACCACAGGACGCAGCCATATACTTTGCGTTTAAGGAGTTATCGGTAAATCGATTGTATCTTTGAGTAAACACACAGTTCGATTTGAATTTACTATTTTTTAAACACTGCGTCTTTTCTTATCAAGTGAATAGAGTAATATGAAACAGATCGACAATGTAGTATCGGCACCATAGAGTTCAATTCGATGATGCTGTGTTTGCGACTAGCGAATTTAGAAAAAAAAAAAACCGTTATTTACATCCATAATAGCTATGTTTGACAAACGGATAAACTAATGTTTATTAGCCCAGATTAGAGAATAAGCCAAATACTAAATGGCCAATATTATCGACAGGTACGAAGCCACTGATAAAGCAGTACACAGTTTGTCACATCGATTTGGAGTTAAGACGTATATCTTTCGGTGGACTGGGAATAGGTCATTATTTTCCTGTGGAAGCATACGCCTTGCTCTTACGAAGTTTAATAACAAATAAATTTAATACACCAAATAAAAATAGCGGTTGAAGGGACCATTTGAGGCTTTATACTATCTAATCAAAATGCAACCAAAGGCTAAGGCAAACATATATCGGATGGTTCGATTTCTACATTCATTAAGAGGATGCAAGACAAAGAACCCATTGGACGGCTCAGTATATGTAAAAATTAGAGGGTCCACCGAGCCTAACTAGACGAAAATTCGAAAACAAACCTAGAAACGTAGAAATACAATTGCTCTATGGAAAAAAAAGTACTATATTTGAAACATTAATCCAAACATCGTCTCTATTTGAGCGACACTCACTTGAAAAGGTTTATACCGGTACTAACGGGATGATGTAATTTCTCACTTTACATATCCATCCAGCGACCTCTAAAGATCGTTTAGGTGGAATAGACAAGCGATTTCTTAAAAACGGAACCAGTTAAGTGTAGATTCATACAACAATAATCCCTCTTTATCTTGTTTTCGTGTTCTATTTTTCTTATTAACCCTTCTATTAGCCAGTATCGAAAAGAGATATAACCAGTATACTGATTCTCGAGGCTATTTGTTTGCTGCACTGCCCTCAAAAATTTTCATTTATCGAACAAAACATTAGGCGTCATCAAGAAACAAATATCGAGCAATAGTTCTCTTTATGGATATTGGTACGGCATACCTAATCTATTGTCAGTACTTCATGATGTATTAATATTAGGCTTCTATGTATAGTGCGTACATTTGTACAGCGTTAGCAAAACACAATATCCCTGGCTGCTGACGTCGTGCGGTTGTTTTTAATAATAATGTTTTTTTCAAAGAATATTTCATAATAAAGCCGGTACCGAAAGTCGGCAGCAACGCACAAACGTAAAACGTTGAGCTATTTCTAAAAAACAATACGAGAGACAAGCTTAAGCTGGTGTCAAAACCTTGCCCGCGACACTTTTCAGAGAGAGACCGTCTATTGTCTAAACCCAGTGCAAAAGCAACTAAAATGACGAGACGACGACACTTTTTTGATAAATTGGGAATTTATGCGAAGTCCCAAAATCCTCAGCTCAGCATCGAAGCTTACTCGAAGATGCGACGCTACCGGTGCTTTTCGATCGACTCCACATCTATCGTCTTTCTAGCTGTCAGGGCAACTTCGACAAAAGAGACGAAGGTCCCTAACCAATGTTATCTCAGTGACGACCTTTTCTCGTTGGCATCCAAACGGGGTCATGCTAATATTGGTCTCTATGATAAGCGAAATAGAATTAATCGTGCACAAGTGGCAGGCCTCGGTGATATAGATTATTTTCGACTATTTGTGATTCAATGGGATTTGTTTTCTACACCACCGTTCGCAGGAGATCTAACCGGCGAAATCGCATGGCATCGGCACTTGAAACAGATGTGGTCCTATTGAGCCATTGACATTATTTGAAATCATGGATTTGTGTAGATGCAGAATTATCGGCTATGGTCGTTGCTTTATCCGTTCGATAGTTCTAACACTTCTCAAGAAACTTGAGCTGAGTGCTTTATAACACCCTGTAACAACAAATGTCATATAGCGTTATACAGAGCAAGGAATATCTTCAGGCTTCAGTTAAATTGATCGAGGATCGATTGAAGGCGAAAGTTGTACTATTCCCTGAAGACATTGCCGTTTCAGTCTTTGCTCTCACTCGTTCGGCTGGTTCTTCAGATGTAGTCTAAGACACATACTCATTCACTGCGATATACAATATTCGGTGTCCTCTAATGACTGCTAAAAAAGCTTAATGACATCGACTTTTTAAAACGTCTGTCGATAACGCTTGCTTGACCAAACCAGACCGTCTCGCCTGACTTGAGAATGATAAAAGCAGGACTCGAAGAACTTATTACCAGTAGTTCTTATTACTGCTAAGCGACGGCGCTATGCAGATAATGCACTACCGTTGTCGTCTGTTACTAGCCCCACGCCCGCTGCTGCGCTGTACGATATGTACATATTCTATCCTCTAATAGCCGTAATATATATACAGCTCCGGCGGAAATATTTAGTTGGTCTGAATGTCAGGACATTCGCCATTCCTGCGCTGAGACATTAAAGCTAACGCCATGAATAGACCAAAGATATTATAAGAATGAAAGAATGTAAACATGTGTGAGTTACTGCCTGCACGGGGAACCAGACTCTATACAAAGCAGCCCATTAAGATGACCTTTACGCAAATTGCATTGCTGATGCAGGAGGTAAAAAAAACTACATATGAAAGAGCGTGGCACAGCTACAGGATTGCTAGTTTTAGAGGAAGGTGATCTGGGCCGACAACGGCCTCACGTTGCAACTTATATCAATACACGGTGCAATATAAACTGCATATATATATATACAAATGTATGCACGGTTTAACTAACTAATTATAATGTTTTACATATGTTTTATATAATAAATTGAAGAAAAATCTGCATTACATATATAATAATCTTCATTCCCAGAAATGATTACCGTTTCTACTAACGACCTTTAGTGGATATTTCATATAGCTCTGTAGTGTATTCTAGTTCAAATACGATAGTTAAATATTGTTGGTCTCTGTATTATAAGTAGCATCATGTCGGCGTCAAGTGAAAAGAACCAGCAAGACCTTTTCGCCCAACGTACCTCTTTGAAAGGTACAAGCTTTTATATCA